CTCATTGGGTTTCCCTCTTTGGCCAGTTGTTCGTGTTCTACATTGGTTACCTGTGGTTATGGACACCATTTCTCTCAGCCAGTGACACTTTAAAGCTTGCTTAAGTAAGAGGAGTAGCTAGCTTGTCTGTTCTAGGCAGGCTGTGCATGTCAACATGCTAAGTGACTGTCTCTGAGTTGTCATGTCTGTGTTGCTTGCTTCCTTTTTATGTTCAGATTTCACAAAAAAATGACTTCTTCCTGACTCTGTCTGTCCTTCATAATCTTTCTCTGTAAAACTGGGATCACCTAACAAGTTTCTCGTGTTGGTCCTTGCCTTTCCTCACTAGCGGCCCCCTAAAAGAGAGGCCCATGAAGGCAGAGCCTCTCTTTCATCTGCCCACTGTGTGTTGGGGTCTTTAAATGGGTCTCCTACAGGGTTACTAGCCTAAGATACTCTTCAGATACTACTTTTTTTTTTTTTTTTCAAAGCACAAGGGAGTATGAATGCATCTTGTTTTGTTGTTGATTGTATTTTTAGGTAAGGAAAATGCTGCTTTTATCTTTGTAGACTATTGATGCCTTTGTAGAAAATTGATGCCTTGTGGTAAATTTAAAAAGGTATGGCCTAATAAATGTTTATTATTAAACTATAATTATTACAACGGTATTATCTAACCCGCTATGAATCAAATAAAGACACAGACACCTGTTATATTTTATAAAGTCTTTATCTGTGGCATTGCAGACATTAACCCTCTAAACTAACATTACCTCCCAACTCCAATCTCGAGCTACCTCTCGTCCATGGTCCCAAAATACTTTCTAATGTGCTCCATCTCCTCCATCTACACTGATACAGCCGTGTGCTCCTTTCCCATGCTAACCCACGGCACTGGTCCATTTCCTTCTCTGATCCTGCCTTCTCTCCTTTCGGTACCTCAGCCCCAGCCTGCAAAACCCAAACTTCACCTACCTTTCTTCAGCCAAATCTCAAACTTCAGCATTTTTTGTATTAACCATTCAGCTTTAAATTAGGTGGAACAAGGCTTACACATCAGAGATAGTAAACGCGAGAATGCGCAGGGACCAGATCTCAGGGGTGGGGCAGTATTAGCATTAAAATACATAGCACAAGACCAACCACCCAAAGGTGCCTATACAGTTTATGCTGTGGATTCTTCAAACATAGAGTTTCAACTAGTTACAGGTTGGCATTGTTGGGGTGGGCAGGGGGTGGTGGGAGATATGCCCATGTTGAACTTAAGGACTTTTATTTTTTCATTATTCCCTAAGAAATATAACACATGTAATTTATTGTTGTAAAAGGAACTTTTATTCTCCTGCTTTAATTGTTGTGTAGGAGGCTAACTGCCTGTCTGCTAACCTAGGCCTACGATGTTTCCAGCCTCTGAGACTTACTGCTAAATAAGCTCACTCTTTCTTGTTCTTACTGAACTGTAGTCTGGCTGGTTCAACTCAGCTGTTCTGGCTCAAACTCCTGTGCCAGCTGACTTTTTCAATCTGGCTTTTCTCTTGGCCTCTGAATTGTTCTGCTCGGTCTCCAACTAACTCCAGCAATCTGCTCTAATTTCCTGGCTCCTTCTCATTCTCTGGTTCATTCTCTCTTCATCTGTGTCTAGCTTGTTCTCTCTTCAACCTGACTCTGTATATCTGTTCTGGTAAAACTGCCTGCTCTCTGTCTCTCTCTCTCCATTACCCCACAAGTAGCTTCCCTTTCCTCTCTCTTCTGAGACTTGGGCATATCCTGTTCTGTCAAGTCTTTCTCTGATTCATTACTGTTTCTGCCACTCAATTAGACATCACTTTCAAACATGGGGTGCTTACTTCTACAAACTACCTTCATTGATTGGGATTAAAGGCATATACCACCATGCCTGGACCTAAGCTTTTCTTTACCTGAAACTTTGCTCTATACCAGGCTGGCCTTAAATTCAGATCTGCTTGCTTCTGTCTCCTGGATTAAAGGCATGTTGTATTCCATCCGGATCACACAGGCCTAGAAGGTCTTTAGCTGTGATCTCTTGCCAGAATAGCCATGTTCTGAATGAACATATAATACTTAATACAATACACATTGTATTTAGTATTATATGTTTCTAGAAATGATTTTAAATGTACAAGAGGATATTAATAGGCTAAATGCATATGTTACACCATTTAACTTAAGTGACTGCATAAATGTTTGTATCCAAAGGAAAGTCCTGGAATCAAGCCCAAGCCCTCCTTGGAAACAGAAGTGTGAGGAGGTGTAATAGTTTCGAAGACTTAAGGTTGGACTAGTCTTGAGAAATGTAGGTGGTAAGGAATGGAGAGTAAGAGTGAAAAAGAAAGCCTTAGAATAATTCAGCAAGTCCAAAATCTATTTTGCTGGGGTTAGAGCAAGGCTTTGTTCCTGCCAGGCAAACGCTCTAGGATTTGACCTGCGTCCCAGCCTAGCCCAGCAGCTAAATAACAGTTCCTGAGAGAACAGAGGAAGTTCTAAGAACCACTATAAATAAAAATCCCCATAAAACACACACATATGCACGCATGCTCTGAAGTCCCATATTGAAGGGACTCACTTGGGTGCCCAGTACAGCATCAGCCGAAGGTGTGGCTGACTGCAAACTCCCAAGCAGTAAGAGAATCTAAAGGGTTAGACTCCCCAGCGGCAGCACTGAAAGCAGGACAGCTGAGAAATGACTCAGGGTGACTAATCAGCCCTAAGGGCAGGACAAAACCAAGATTGCAGAAAGGCAAGGTCCTTTCTGAAGAGTGTGCCAAGGGGCAGGCAAAAGTCTGCCCTTCATTGCAGACTGTCAGCACTAGCTAACTACAGCTGGGACTTGCATACTTGCCCACACTTAAAGCTAAGTGGGACACGATAGTATGCATGCTTAATGTGCATACATAACCACACGCTTAATAATGTACATAGTAATGTACATGCTTAATCCCATTTATCTAAGCCTCAAATTCTTAGAAGTGCATACCTGTAATTTCAGCACTTGAGAAATGGATGCAGAGGGCTCAGTTCCTTGCTGGCTGGGCTATGTGTGACTCTGTTTCAGGAAACGAGTAGGAAGGGCTAAGAGCTGTGGCTAAGTAGGTAGAAGGCTTGCCTACCATAAACCAAACCTCAGCTCAGTCCCTGGCATCGCAGGCACCAGGTTTGCTCCTCGTCCCAGCACATGAGAGGTGGCGGCAGGGTTAACAGAAGTTCATGATTATCCTCAGCTACAGATCAAGTTCAAAGCCAGCCTTGGGTCATATGAGACCTTATCTCAAAAAAGATGAAATAAGGAAAGGAAGAACTTATCATTCAGGCTATGAATGAGTGGCCCAATGAGTAAAAAGTCTTGCCACACAAGCCTGACAAACTAGGTTTGATTCCCGAAACCATGGTGAAAGGAGAGAACTTACTTCTAAAAGTTGTCCTTTGACTGCCAGGGGCTCACTGTGGCATGTGTGCCCACACTCCCACAAAAGTACAAAAATTAAAAAAAAAAAAAAATGTGGGTTGTTCCTGGAGAGATGGTTCAGCAGTTAAGTTCTCCTCCAGAAGACCCAAAATCAGCTCCCAGCACTCCCATCTGTAAAAGGAACTTTTATTCCAGGCCAAGCTGAGCAATTCAGAGGCTGAGAGAGAAAGGCCAGAGTGAATCAGTCAGCTGGGAGAGGAGTTGGAGTCAGAACAGCTGAGTTGAACCGGCCAGCCAGGAGCTCAGAAAGAACAAGAAAGGGTGAGCTTATTCAGCAGGAAGTCTCAGAGGCTGGAAACATTCGAGGCCTAGGTTAGACTGTACGGAGGCTACAAGCTTCCAGGACTAGGCCTAGGTTAGCAGACAGGCAGTAAGCCTCCGAGACAACAATTGAACCAAGCAAATAAAAGATAGGTTTGCGCATATCAGTTCTCTTACAGTGGCTTGCAATTCCAGTACCAGAGACAGGATACCCACTGTGCTCCACAGACCTCTGCATACTGCGGTATACATTAACTCACACAAGCACACACATACATAGTCAAAATGAATCTTGATTAGAGGGGGAAGAACATATAGATGAGACCTCCTGCTTAGCCTAAGTGAGGCCCTGGGTTCAACCCGGAACAAATGAGGAAAAACAAAGCAGAAAACAGACATAGACCCTAAAATTATTGAAATGCTATGGCTTGGCCCAGACTTTTATAAAGAAGAAGCAGAGAAGTAGAAATGGCCATCCTAGATGCCTCTGTAAGCTTAACTCCCAAGTCTGGTGTGAGGGTGCTGCCCTCAGTGAGGACGCTGCACGGGGGATCAGGAGTTCAAGGGAGCCTGGGATGCATTGTAAGGTCTTGCTCAGAAAGGGAACTATGCTGTACAACAGTGGTAATTGACTGCAACCACAACAAGAAGTTTATGGGAAGGGCCGTGTCACCCTTCAGTTATTTCTCTGCAAAGTGACATTTAGAGTGAGTAAACTGCGGGTCGCGGTGACACATGCCTGTAAGCCCAGCGCTCAGGAGGCAGAGGCAGCCTGGTCTACAAAGTGAGTCCAGGACAGCCAAGCCTACACAGAGAAACCCTGTCTTGAAAAACAAAACAAAACCAAATCAAAACAAACAAACAAAAAAGGAAAGAAAAAAGAAACATCCAGGCAAGAATTCAGGTCCATCCTAGATTCAGCTTACATTAACCAGGGTTCAATCAGTGAGGTTTTCTCTCTTTTTCTCAATTTTTGGTTTTCTGAGACAGGGTTTCTCTGTGTAGCCTTGACTGTCCTGGACTCACTTTGTAGTCCAGGCTGGCCTCAAACTCGCAGTGATCCGCCTGCCTCCCTGAAGTACTGGCATTACAGGCGTGTGCCACTGCACTGAACTGCCTGGATGTCCCTGAGAGCCTCTTCCTCCCTTCTTTGGCCATTCTCCCAGAGAGTCCCACAAGAGAAGACGCTCTGTCAGGAGAGAACTTCGCTTTAATTAATCATACTTTGCTTAGTGACCCATGCTGGGTGAGCCTGAACAATCTCATTCCTTTACAGCACGAACTTTCCAACTGAGGACTGTGGAGACCAACTAGGTTGAAATGGAGAACCAAGAATCAACAGATTCTTCTCAGAACGCTAAACAGCACATTATTTCAGAGGAGGTAGGTAGAGTTTTCTTTTCCCTGTCCTTTTTCTTCCTCACATAACAGTAAGTTTTAAATGAGTATGCAAGCTATTATTTTATTGCTGTCAGGTTTCTATTCTTAGATAGTTTTCAGATGTTTTTCACTCTCGTTTTAAGGCTAAACCACGTTGTGCTCTTGTCTGAGAGCAGTGGTCTATCAGTTTTAATTACATGAATTTATGAAATTGAGAGTAAGTAGAGAAATTCTTCTTTAAAAAAATTGCCCTGGATAAAAACAAAAAAACCCAGATATATGGTTTTGGACATAATATGTGGTTTTGAGATTTCATATTTAATAATTATATCTTAGCTGTTTATCATCCTGGCATAAATGTTTAAATAATAAAAACTTAAATTATTCATTGTAGTTCAAATTTCACTGAATTCTAGAACTAATTCTGCACCTAACTATATTGTTGATTATAGTGGTTTTTCTCTCTCTCTCTCTCTCTCTCTCTCTCTCTCTCTCTCCTTAACCAATTGTAGTGGACAAATTTTAAATATTTCATCTTGGAACTCTGGTCCCGACACTCTTCTGGAATTCTTTTTGATTTAGAATCTTTCCACGTTGTCTGTGAACAGATCTGATAATGATTAGGTTGGTGTTAGCAAGAGGGTGGGGCAGAGGGATGCTAGTAAGGAAAGCCTGTTACTTCAAGTTCAGATTCTCAGCTTAGTGTAGTGCCACGGGTAGGCCACGGGTGAGCTGTCGTCTCAGTGCCGCATGTGAGCTGCCCTCCAGACTCCTTGGTGTATGGGTAGATCAGTTTTCAAGCCTGTCTTAGATTGAGTGGGCACTTGGATGTCAGAAAGAAAATCTAGTCTTTGATTTGTTTCCCACAATCCATTTTCCTAATAAACTCTTAAAACCACACACAACTGTGGCCAGCTTTGCACCCATACCTGGAGTCAGAACGAGGAACATCCAGGTCTCCCACGCCTTGCACTCCCTTCTGATCCCTTTCTCTCCCAGCCCAGAGCTATTTGTGTTTCTCAGGGAGCAAGTGTCTGCTTTTACCCCTATCCTTAGATTTTAATTCTTTCACCCTCTTAGCTGTACCTGAAAAACTCAAAAACAAACAGAAAAACAAAAAAACAAACAAAACAAAACAAAACAAAAAACAGACCCACCTTTAGAGGAAACAACTTTGAATATGTATTCCAAGCTAGAAACTTGCCCACAATTATTGGGAGAGAAGCAGATTGGAGGAAGGGAACATAGAGAAAATTTGAAAGAACACACTTTTTGATTTTTAAAAAGACCAACTTGGTTTGAAAATTTTCCTGCCTTATAACTGTCTGCTTTTGTTTTAGTTGATTTCAGAAGGAAAATGGGTCAAATTTGAAAAAACAACTTATATGGATCCAACCGGTAAAACTAGGTAAACTTTTTTCTTTTCTTTCTGTCTTTGGTCTTTCCAGGTCTCTGCTTGAACGCAGTGTCTGCTTGAACACTGGTGTTTCAAGTGTTGTAAGCTCTCTTTTTAAACAAAGAATCAAGTGCAGCTCTTACTCCATTGCTAAGCCATTTGGGTCATTGATACTCTGAATAAAATTTAATGTCTAAGTTAGAAGAACTAAAAATAAAGCAAAACCTTTGTTGGCTTTGGAGTAAAACATGGATGTTTATACCTTACTCAGAAATATAAATTGGAAAAAAAATTCTGTAAGAAATAATAACATTATATCAAGATCATATAACTTTTTACTTCATAGTTCTACTTCTGGGAATTTGCTAAGAAAATTACTGACTATTTAGATTTAGATTTATGCGTTAAAATGCATATTAAACGTCCTAAAATAGAGATCATGCGTTAGGGACATAGCTCCATGGTAGTGAAAGAATGCTGTTTGTGCACGCACCCGCGAAGCCCAGAACAGGGTGTCAAGTGCCCTGGAGCTGGCTACAGGGAGTTACGAGCCACTTTGCATGGGTACTGGGAACCAAACCCTGGTCGTCTTCAAGAGCAGCAGCTATTCTTAACCACTGAGCCATCTGTCCAGGCCTGATGTATGTGTGTGAAGCTTTAGAAAATGGTGTGTGAAGAAAAGCAGGGCCCACATCTTTCATCTGAACACTAGGGAGATAAAGGCAGGCAGATCTCTTCAGAGAGAAAGAGAGAGCCTGCCTATAATTAACTTTTCCTTGTGTTTCCCAGATTTTATTAAAGAAAACCATTGCTGGCTGTTTATTTATTTATTACATATAAAGTGTTCTGCCTGTACACCAGAAGAGGGCACCAGATCTCATTATAGATGGTTGTGAGCCACCATGTGGTTACTGGGAATTGAACTCAGGACCTCTGGAAGAGCAGCCAGTGCTCTTAACTTCTGAGCCATCTCTCCAGCCCTGGCTATTATATTTAAAAGGAGCTGTGGATACAGCTCAGTGGTATAGCACTTGTTTAGCATGTGCAAAAGGCCTGGTATGATCCCATTATCTTTACAAAGATAAATGTAAATCACTAAGGAAAATAGTGTTTTAAATAGGTTTACTATTTAATAAGGAATAAAATAAAATTAAGCTGGATAACAAATTCAGCTTTATTTTATTTTATTGTAAATGTAAATCACTAAGGAAAATAGTGTTTTAAATAGGTTTACTATTTAATAAGGAATAAAATAAAATAAAGCTGAATTTGTTATCCAGCTTATGTCACATGAATTTGTTAGGGGAAAAAAAATCTCATTTGCTGTACAATCACGAGGGAATCATGTGGTTTTTTTTTTGTGTGAGCAAATGCATTTATCATCAAGGTGACAATAGTTGGATTTGCTGATAATGACTGAAACAAATTTTGATTTGTGTCTGCTGAACTAGCACAAGCGTTAATAAGGCCCATTTTTAGAGAGATGTGGGAGACATTAAGAGACAGCAGACAGAGAGCTAACGTATGAAATTAGCAGAGGATGGTACCCAGGAAAGCACATGCTAAGACTACGCTGCGGGGTACAGTATGTGCAACGCGTTTCTATTGTGAAATAGATACTAAATGCTCAGCATCCTGAAATAGTTTGGCTCTGTGCTTCCTTAAATGGAGTTTATAACACAACATGCAGCCTTTAACCCTAAAAATCTAAAGCAGTGGTTCTCAGCCTGTGCGTTGCAACCCATTTGGGGGTCAAAAAATCAGAGGAGTCACATAAGACCATCGGAAAATACTGACGTTTACCTTGTGGTTCCTAATGTAAGTATGACAGTAGCAAAGTTACAGTTATGAAGTGGCAGTGAGAATAATGTTATGGTTGGGGTCACCACAACTTGAACTGTATTAAGGGGGACAGCATCAGGAAGGTTGAGAGCCACTGCTCTAAAGAGTCTATGTCAGTTCATATATGCACCCGTAGGTGTCTGTATTCTGCTGCTCATACTGTATCGCTCATTGCTTCTTAATTACTTCACTTGACCACTGTAGTGACGCCACTCTCTTTGTTTTCCTTATTCCTAGTGTATTTGGGATGGGACCTTCAGTGCTTTCCCAGTACTATCTTCAGTCTTTAGGACTAACCTTGAGCAACAGCAGAGAGAGCTATGGCAAAAGGTGTTTTGTCTCTCGTGATCTGTATTACTTATTGGAGGTTGCTTGTTGGTCGGCTTCTTGCTACTAACAGGAGTGTCAGGCTACTGTGAGTTGTTGCGGCAGTCTGTTTGACTTTCATTTGCCCTGTGAAAATTTGGGTGCGGTGCTGCAAGGGGTACAGTTGATAGAAAGGGGTTTTGTTTATTCTTTTCTTTTAAGCCAGATCAAATATGGGGGGCTTTTTGTAGAGATGTGTTATTATCAGACCTCAAGGACAACCAGGAAAAAATACGAGCAAGAGGGACCCTCAGGGTAGGAAGCCTTATAACTAACTTTACTTAGCCCAGAGCTTTCTAGATTCTAATCCCACCTATAGAACACAGCATAACATAACGTTGGATGCCTGACCACCTCCATCATTATTGTAGCATTGCTTTTTCTGCCCCAGAGATGAGAATCAAAAGAAAGGGGGACATTTCCTATTATTCCCTCCCCCTTTCCAACAGTGTATCAGGTTGTTTGTTTGTTTGCTTGCTTTTCCTGTAATGGACTTTCCATTTAATTGTACCTGATGTTCCTGTGAGAGCAGGTAATATGTTTATCAAAACCTGAGAACAAACGGCCAGGAACAAATCGCTAACATGAAGTGAAGCCATAAAAGGGAGCAAGAATATGACATCCAGAACTTCACCACCTCCTCTAGGGACCTGTCTTTCCCTTATCCATAAGGCTGCACTCATGCAAAGAAAATCTAATTCTCCAGATAAGTGGGAATGTGCCTTCTTGCACTGTGTAGTTTGGTCCCATGTTTTAAACCTGCTTAATTTCAGTAGTTCCAGTGCTTCATGTTGCGCATGGCATTCTTTGTTCCTGGAAAAGCATCTGGAATATCCCTAGGGGCTAACTGCATCACTGTGGGAAGGTCTGGACAACCGCACTGCCAGCTCGTGCTGCTCGCCGTGGCCTGACATCCACACCAGAGTGTTCTGAGGATGCAGTGACCCAGCCAGGGCTCAGCCGCTTCCTGCTTAGGTGGCAGCCAGAGGCTGGGGGGGGGGGGGGGGCAACAGTTTCCTTTCTCTCCACATGGCCTGCAAGAAAGCGCAGGTCTTCACTGTGCTGACCGGTTTCATTAGCATATTTGCATGCATTGCATCTGTGACGTGCTAATAGTGTAGAGAAAACCTGAGAACATTCTTCCCTTTGGCACTAATGATTTTTTTTTCTTTGTTCTCTGCCTGCATAGAACTTGGGAAACTGTGAAACTTACAACCAGGAAGGGAAAATCTGCTGATGGTATGACTATTACAACTCTTTATAAAGGAAGTTAGCACATGAGATTGTAAGACCATGTTTAATATAACCAAAGACCTCAATGCAGAATTACCCTCAATTAGGGCCTTTTAGGTGTGACTCTGCTGCTTTTACAATGCTATGTTCCAAAGTTTTCTGTGTAAGTAACTTCTGGCTCCTGTTTTCTAAGCCAGGAACTGTTTTTGAAGGAAAGATGTGTCGACTTTGTAGCCAAACATATGTCAGTGTAATTTGAAGCCATGCACTGGGCGGTGTATGAGGACCACTGGAGTCCTTTGTACTCTGAAAGTGGGGGCTTTTGGGTGTGGAGAGGTGAGCTCCTCACCACCTTCATGCTTCAGTTGAGAGCAGAGAAAATCGGGAACGGGGTTCAGTTCACATCTCCTTTCCATGCAAGCACAAATGCCTTAGCTGCAGCCACAGCAGAACCACCCCGGCAGCCACATGTGGTCTGAGGAAGTCAAGCCACTGATCCAGCTTTGCTTTTCGTTTTCCCATCTTTATTTGATTTGTTTTTAAGACAAATTGTTTTGAAACAACATTGTTGTTTTTAAGACAAACAGTTGCTTTGCTGCAGCTGCTCTTACCTGTCAAAGCATGTGGGAGACACTAACCTCCTTGGCAGTGTCTCTCCAGAGCCAGTGGCTCTCTGGCTTTATTTTAAGGCCAGATTTTTTGGAGAGGAAGAGCTTATATTCTACAACAGCAAAAGTCAATCCGCTGTCAGAGAAGACACAGTGGCTCTTAGCTGGCCTCTGGCTTAAAGGAGATCTAGCAGCATGCAGACCTCTCTCTCGACCAGACTCCACTTCACTGGCTGCTGTGTGGGAGCAGGGCTTCCCATTCTTGGCCCTGTGTGACATGTTTAGTTTCAGTTTTGCTTTCATTTTTGTAAGAAGTTATGGCTGGGTCTGTGGGTGCACACCTGTAGTCCTCTGTACTTGGGAGGCCGGGGCAGCATAGTCAGACTCCGTCTACAGTAGAAGATAGAAAACAAACAACCCGATATTATAATAATTAAAATGAACTTTTTATAATTAAGAAGGAATGCCAGACAGCATGTTACTTGTGTATTTTTAAATGAGGCGTTTCAAATTCGGTTGCTTAAGTTAAGTGCTTACTGCCTAACAGCAAATTTGGAGTGATCTGGACGCACTGCCTTCAGATCTGGAGTTTCTGTCGGACTGCTGGGAACAGGGCTGTTCACAGGTCCAGCTGACCCTCCTTAAGGGTTCCTCAGCTTTGTTTCTTTTGGCAGCTGTGTCCATCATCCCGGTGCTGCAGAGAACTCTTCATTATGAGTGTATTGTTCTGGTGAAACAGTTCCGGCCCCCGATGGGTGGCTACTGCCTGGAGTTCCCAGCAGGTGAGTCCCTCCACCGGGTCCTGGCCTGACACTGAGCATCGCATTGCTTGCGCTTCGACATCTTTTCATCTGTCCAAGTGGCTGTACGTGCACAGTAAACGTGGCTAAGGCGAGGGAAATGGCTCAGCAGTTAAAGCCCTCGCAACGAAACACGGGGGCTTCAGTTTGGATCCGAGAACCCCATGTCAAAGCCAAGTAGGTATGGAGGCTTACCTGGAGTTCCAGCCCTGGAGGGCGGACAAAGTCCCAGGACTAGTTGGTTCTTACATGCTTCTTACGTCAGTGCCAGTCCTCCATGGGCACACCCAGCAGTTGAGCAGGCTGGTAAGACCTCATGGGCCAGGCAGCTGCAGGTCTGACTGAACTGGGCCAGAAGGATGGCGGAGGGCTCTTACGCCAGGGTCACTCCTCCACATGCGCACACCATGCTTTCATCCTGAGGCTTCTTCCAGCCCTGGCCACATTCGGGGTCGGCCACGCCCCGTTCCACATAGCCTACTGAGGCCTGCAGTGCTGTTCCTGTCTCCTAGAAACTGCTGCCACTCACGCATCAGTTATCTCGCCTTCTGTCACCAGCAGTCTCACTCACGAGAATTGCACAGTGGTGAGCAGTTCAGCCTCTGAACTGCACAAGCCGTAACCAAAGACAGCTTGATCGACCATGAACAGGGCAAGGAAATTGCCTTGATTTTTATGTAGAGGGATTTTTCAGTTTTGCTGTAATTAAAGAAGCCATCCAAAATCTGATACACAGTGTTATAGCCGTTCATTGGGCTGTACCATAGGAAGAGGTTAATAAATCCCATGCATCTGTTGCAAGTGGTATACTTACAAAGCGAAGTTCATGAAGTTCAGGTACGTTTACCCAGCACGCACAAAGCTCTGTGCCACATTCGCAGGCTGAAGTGGCAGTCCCAAGGCCTAGTCCATGGCAATATATATAGTTAATTCTTTCTCACTTGCCATTTTAAAAAGAAGTTAGTAACACTGAATGCGATTTAATAACCTACATTGTACTTGTTCTTTACGTAGTTGTGTTCAAGAAAATAAGTCTTGAGTTGATACTTTCCTCCTATTTGGCCTATTTGTTCCTCATGGTGACCATAATAATGACCTAGTCCACAGCCTTCAGGGTACTTCTTCCTGCCTCTTTATGCTGGGCATCAATATTTTCTGTGAGGAAGGGACCAAGATAAGTAAAGTGTCATCATACAATAAAAGGAAACAAAAGAATCAGCTTCTTGTATTGTAGCTACATAACTGCCTCTGAGCCCTAGCCCATTTGGCCACCAGTGAATTACCTTTCCTCACAGTACTGACCCTCATGCACAGAACATGGCTGAGATGTTCATGAGAAACATCTAGGTAAAAGCACAAGGCAGGGGGACACCGACTGTAACCTCCTCGGTGTACAAGGGTCAGCTCCTTAGCAACTGTTAGAAAGATGTTCAAAGGACACCATCTTTCCATCTGTCCTCCAGGGCTCATCGAAGACGGTGAGAGCCCTGAAGCAGCTGCCCTTCGGGAGCTGGAGGAAGAAACTGGCTACAAAGGTGATGTTGCAGAATGTTCTCCAGGTTCGTATTGGCATTCAGTGTCAGTTTCTTGAACGTTAATAAAGCAAGGGTTCTTTATGGTCAGGGCACAGGCAGAAGGGAACCAGGAATTTTGATTGGTCTCCAGCCAAGTGTGGTGGCATATGTTTGTGATCTTAGCCCTGCAGGGCTGAGACAGGAAACTAAGAGTTGAAGGTCAGCGTGAGCTACACAGTAAGAAAGCATTTCTGTGTCCCTTTCCCCCCCAAATTACAAAAGGGGGTTATTCTCCCTCTGTTGAGTAACTGCTCCTCTGCATGAGAGCAAGTTGAAGGACCTGAAATTGGAAAATTATGAAACCAAGTGTCCTTCAGAGCACAGTAAACCTTACTCCTTACTTACTTGTCTGTGCCATAGTCCTCACTAGAAGTTTCTCCCCCTCAAAACCAAGCCCTCAGATTTCCTACACTTGACTCAGGAACTCCAGGAAGTCTGAACACATTTTGAGTACATACAAGTTCTGTGATCCTGTACAGCTGTTGACTAGATTGAGCGAACCCTGAACTCCACCTCTTCTGTGATATCTAGTGACTCAAGCAGCAAGGGACTAAAGCACTTGCCTCATTTCCTAAGACACGCTGTCACTTTTTTTCACAGCTGTGTGTATGGATCCAGGCTTGTCAAATTGCACCACACATGTTGTGACAGTGACCATCAATGGAGATGATGCAGGGAATGTTAGGCCAAAGCCCAAACCAGGTAAGGATGTGTTAGATAGATTTAAACTGGTTGAGTTACATTAAGTATCTTTTTTTTTATTATTATTATTATTTTTTAAACAGTTTGTGTGTAGCCCTGGCTGTCCTAGAACTCACTCTGTAGACCAGGCTGGTCTCTATTTTTTTAGTTTTTCTTTTATGTGCATTGATGATTTGCCTGCATGTATGTGTATGTGAGGGTGTCAGATCTTGGAGTTACTGACAGTTGTGAGCTGCCATGTGAATCCTGGGAATTGAACCCAGGTCCTCTGGAAGAGCAGCCAGTGCTCTTAGCTGCTGAGCCATCTCCTCAGCCCCACATTAAGTATCTTTTAACTTGCTAAAATGAGCACAGTATCACTGAAAGAGTCATAGTCTCTTCAGGTTCTTCATTGGTATTTGCCTGCTTTTCAATGTTGCTATTTTGGCATGTTCTCTTTAGTATTTCATTGATCTTTTATTCTTTTTGTAAGATGTTAAACTACAAAAGTTATAAAATGTATGGGGTTTGTTTGGGTTTTTGGTTTGGTTTGGTTTGGGTTTTGTTTTTTTTTTGGGGGGGGTTGGTTTTTCAAGACAGGGTTTCTCTGTGTAGCCTTGGCTGTCCTAGAACTCACTTTGTAGACCAGGCTGACCTCGAATTCACAGAAATCCACCTGCCTCTGTCTCCTTGACTGCAGGCATTACAGGTGTGTGACAAAGCACCCAGGTATTTTGATTTGTTTCTTTTCAAGATTGGGTTTCTTTGTGTAGCTGGAGCAATCTTGGCGCTCACTCTGTAGACCAGGCTGGCCTTAAACTTGGAGATCTGCTTGCCTCTGGCTTCTGGGTACTGAGATTAAAGGTGTGTTCCACCATTGCCCAGCTGTGTGTTAAATTTTATAAAATGTTAAATGTCTTTTTTTTTAAAAAAAAAAAAAAAACATGATTCCCATTTAATAATATGCATCCCAGGCCCAATTAGAAAGTGAGAAACTTCAATATTACCTTAGTTTTTGTCTACATGTGTGAGAAAAGATGTTAGTACAGGCTGCAGCTTGTATTCAACTGAGTTCTGTAGTTAGAGAATTTGTAAGGTTATTCTCTACACTAAAATATTTTCTAGCAAGGTGGGGTCCAAAAGCAGTATGCTGTCAATTCCCTGTCCTTTCTTCCACCCCTTTGAAGGTAGATGGATGGATGATGAATACACAGACACATACACACACACACACACACCATAGTAAATCATGTTTGAGTGGTAATTTCTTAGCCTTTTAAATTATCCCTGCATATGCTTCATTATCTCTTTGTAGCCAATTTTAAATGCTTAATTAAGCTGCAAATATTCATAAGACATGGAAGACATTTAGGAGCCCCTCAAAACTTTAAATTTGGGAATAAAAATAGTGAGCTTAAGAGTTGTGATGTTGGCCAGGTGGTAGTGGTGTATGCCTTTAATCCTAGCACTCAGGAGGCAGAGGCAGGTGGATCTCTATGAGTTCCAAGGCCAGCCTGGTCTACAGAGTGATTCTAGGCCTGCCAGAGCTACACACAGAAAAAACCCTGTCTCAAAAAGCAGGTAAGTAAGTAGATAGGTAGGTAGATAAGTAGGTAGATGGTAGGTAATAGATTAGGTAGATAGATGGGTGGGTGGGTAGGTGTCTGGATAGATAGATCTATAAATCAATAGAGAATGATAAATTTTGTATTCTATATTTGTCCGTAGATTAAATATAGTAAACATGCATTACAGGATCTGCTTAAATTTTGCTGTGAAATGTCTTGATTTAGATTTAAATTTTGCTGTGAAATGTTGAAATTTACTTTATATTTAGTAGAGTCTTACCTTAGGTGTCTGTTAGACTCTTCTACAGTCTTTAATGATTTGCACTCAAGTCTTCCAAAGATGTGTCATGGCAGGCTGTGCTAAAATCTAAGTCTTCCCTCTTCATTTTCAGGGGATGGAGGTATGTTATTCAACTCCCGGTGGCTGGCCCTGTGATGGCTTTCTGTAGTGGTAATGATGGCTTGCAGATATTGGGGCTGTTGGGGTTCAAGCCTGGATCCTGTTCTTCAGCTTTGCTTTCACTGCATTCTGTTTGTTTAGAATTTGTGGACGTGATTTCTTTACCAAAGAATGATCTGCTGGCTAGACTTGACGGTAAGCACTCTCTAGGTTATTACCAGCCTTCTCTTGATCCCACCCCCACCCATCCCCTCCCCTATACACTAGGGCAGTGAGTATAATTTATCTTCATCTCATTAATGTCAGACATCTAAAAACTGGTGGAAAATATTGTTGAGCAATGCTAATTTTCCTTTTCAAGTGATGTACAGTTTGAAAATTTTAAAAAAAACCTTGTTTAAAATTTTCTCCCTACATGATGATTATTTTTCCTGCTGTTTAGCCAAAACTATTGAGTGGTTAAGGTCTTTGATCCACACCGGTGCCAAGGTGTAAATATGTACATAGTACTGTTGTGCTGATTTGTTAGATAGTCTCTGTAGGACGTCAAGTCTTACTAAGGAGTCTTGAAGGAGTTCCTCGACACATACTTGACTGTGAGAGGCTGTGCAATGAACCTTAGAGAATTGGTCGTCATTTGGTTAAACCAGCTCATCCTACAGAGACATTTCAGAAATCCTGTGAGATATTGGTAGACCTCCCATAAGAGATAATGTTAATGAGGACATAGCGAAGACCCTCCTGGGTGGCCCTGTGCCCCAGCTTTGTGGATTCCTGTTCACTTACTTGTGAGGAAGCAGATTTTTCTACTGTTTTAAAGTACTGGCTTTGGAGATTGACACAAAATAACTTGAAGTATTCATTGATCGGAACCCCTTTAAGAGCTGTCCTTAATTCCTCCATGCCCAGTGGCTTATGGCTTCACTTCAGAAACAGAGAGCTCTATTTTGAAATGCCTATTACTTGTTAGAAAAGTTAACTATCTTTCAAAAAACTATGATTTTTAGATTCCCACACTTCAATTACATCACCTTTTCAAAAACTAGAGCTAAGATAAATTCATGTCAATACCTAAATCCAAATGAAGCATCTTCAGTTACTCAGAAAGGCCATGGCCACCAACATCAGGGAGTACAACGAATGATCTGATGGGCTTGATTGGGTTTGAGCTTGACCATCACCACTGTCAGCAGTCTCTCATTTTCCCACATCAAGAATAAGTCCCTTCCTGAGGGTGCATGAGACTAAAACAGATACTGTAGGCAGAAGACTTTACCCCTAGGTGATTAAATAATACATGATAGATGTCTCTTTTATGTACAGAATATCTTTTTTTAAAGTTCCTTCTCTTACCCACCTGACTTCCTTCTGATGATAGAAGGGGACTAAATCAGCAAGAAAGAATCAGTTTACCTAACTTCAGTATAATCAAAGTATAGTAATCAACTTTCATGCTAGTTTGCCACAGAATAGCAATCAATACTGTTGTCATTCACAGGTGGATAGGAAATGAGCCCTGCCTTGAGGATTTGTCCACCTCTGAGCTTGCCCAAACAAGTGCCTAGGAAAACAGGAGACACTGGGGCAATGAGATGGCCAAGTGCTGAGCTTGATGAGTCATCTGGGGCTGGAGAGATGGCTCAGAGGTTAAGAGCACTGGCTGTTCTTCCAAAGGTCCTGAGTTCAATTCCCAGGCATCCACATGGTGGCTCATAACCATCTATAATAAGATTTGGTACTCTCTACAGGCATGCAGGTGTACATGCAAGGCAGAACAATGTATACATATGAGTCATCTGTGTTGCTACTTTTAATCCTTTACTCTTCTTTTAAAGATAGGGTATGCCCCCAGTTTCTAGTATGGCAACTGGCATACAATCTGAACAGTGGTTGACTAGGCTCTCCTGTCACTGTCTAGTCTCTAAACTGTCGTTTTTGCTTCCTTAGCTTTGGTAGCAGAAGAACATCTAACAGTGGATGCCAGGGTCTACGCCTATGCTCTGGCACTGAAACATGCGAACTCGAAGCCATTCGAAGTGCCTTTCCTCAAATTTTAAGGCCAAGGAGGACACTGGCCATGTTTTATAAATGAGACCATAAGGCCTTTACTTACTATTCGGTGTATTCACTTAGGTTTAATGTAGATTGAAAATCAGCTTTTTCATAAAATAAAAGCAGCACAGACCATGTGGTATGGAATTATAATTACAGAGAGGATGTATGCAACCTTCATTTTAAATTTGTTTAATATTCATAAAAATGAACATAAATATTGGTGGCTATGTTTAAACTTCTTAAACCTCACCTAGTCTAGAGGTGGGATATTTCTCAGGAATAGACTTGAGCTCCAAATTAGGTCAGCTATTTCTACCCTCAACTCCTAAAATAAAAATTAGGTACTTAAGTCTGCAAATAGCTATTGGGTTCATGTTTCAAAATAAAAGGGTTGGGGTTTTTTGTTTTGTTTTCTTGAGACAGGGTCTCACTGTATAGCCCTAGCTGGCCTAAAGTTTGCTTTGTAGACCAGGTTGGCTTTGAACTCCCAGAGATCCACCTGTCTCTGCCTCTCTGGGTGCCAGGATTAAAGGTGTGCACCACCACACCTGACCAAAATTAAAGAGTTTTAAAAGAGGGGCTCAGCATTTTAAGAGCACTGTCTGTTCTTCCAGAGGTCCTGAATTCAATTCCCTGCAACCACATGGTGGCTCACAACCATCTATACTGGGATCTGGTGCCCTCTTCTGGCATGCAGGTGTACATGAAGCTAGAGCACTCATTAAATAAAGTTTTAAGAGAAACCCCAATAGGGACTTACTTAGCTTCTCCTAATTCTCATTGATGTTCTATGTGGTTATTTGAGTAGTAGACAGAGGTAAAACCAACAAAAGTAATTTTGTGGTACATCCTTTTAATCCACCCTCTTGAGAAGCTGAGGCAGGAGGATCATGTGGCCAGTTTAGACATAATGAAACTTGTTACCTCAAAAATAGTTTTTAAAATGTACTTAGTATCTTCATAAGGCCATTTAATTCCTAGAGGTGTACCAAGATGTTCCAGCAGTGAACACAGTTAACATAGTAAGGCTAAGCTAAGAGACTGAAAACTCAGGGCCTTTCCCTCAAGTATGTACATACTAGTTTCCTATTCTTACCTCAGAAAATATTTGTTTTCTAAAGCTAAATCCACAGTAAAAAGATGGACACGGACCATGAACATCAACATCCATGACATACATAGCTGTCAGCAGTCATGGGTGTAGGCAGATATATTAGCAACTATCTGCAACATAAACTACACTAGAAATGCAGAAATGGTTTCTAGTGTATGCTGTACCTAAAGGTCATCACCCCAGAGTTCTGCCAGCATTCCAGGATCATTTCCTGGTTCTGATGAGCTCAGCTATTATGATTACTGTAGCTTTCAATAGCTCAAGGACTGTTCAGTTGAGCCTCTAGCAGCACTCGCAGCATGATGCTTGTTGGGCAGCTCACCATGTTTGCAACCTGATCCAGAGGTCAAGGCAGACCCCTGGACACCTTGTAGAGATGGTTTTCCCAAAACCGTCAGGTACCGATGCTGAGTGTTATTGCCGACAGCTATTTTTATGAACAAAAATGTAAGCACTTTATACAAATCTTTATATTGGTCTTCTTAAAGAAGGTTGAAAATAATTCTGGAACTTTACAGACCAAAGTCTGCTTTCCTAATGAGTGTAGAAATCAAGACCCATCTATTTATAGCACAGTAGTCTTCCCTGTAACTCCAACCCTTAAAAAAAATGCTTTTAATCATGGGCATGATAGTTCTCCAATGGTAATTTTTCCATGAGTTCCCCAGGATCTCTATTTCCCCATGTTGCTTCCTTCTGAAATGAAGCTGCAGGCTGCATATATTCATCCTTTAGAAGGTTTAGGCCCAAGTGCAATAGAAATGACCTTTGGGATTGGTCAAAACACAAGGTGTGTCCCATTCTCCCTGGCCCTCATGCCTCTCTCCTCTAGGAGTGCAACTATGAAGTGACAACTACATTGTAGACTTGCCCTTACTGCCATTTTTATTACCTATGCACCCCAGAAGGTCCTGCCTCAGAAGTGAAGACAGCCTTGGAACTGGCCTTCTGGGTATCTTCACTCCTCATAACAGTTTTATTTGCCATTTTTTAAAAAGCTGCCCCCTTTTTGTATTCATTTTGAAAACACAAGAAGTAGGTTCTACCACCCCAAGATGTTCTCCAGTGCCTGCCGTTAGCTCACCTCTTGCTTCTGCATCTACCTGACTTCATGATCCAAGCTGAGTCTCACCTTCCGTTCCTACTAAGGAAGTCATATTGAAAACTGTGCTTCTGAAAATAACTTAAATTTGCTAATTTTTGTTGGAAAATAAAAAAAAATACTAAAAAAAAAAAAAAAAAAACCGAAATGGGTTAATTTCAAATGGAGACTAGAGTGTGTTTTAAGACCCTTTCCATGTCATGAGTGCCCTTAAATTGCTACTGCCCTTGAATAATTTAGAACTGAAATATGACTACATGTGACCTCTTTAAGCATATCCAGATGGGTTCTGTAAAAATTCTCTGAGCCTACAGAAATAATCTTAAGAGAATGCTTAATAGGAATCTCTTTATTTTTTTCCAACACAACTGCAAGTTTTATTAAATAAAAGTTTATTGTCTACTGTTTACAGTTGGGTCCTGCTGTGCACAAGACAGACATGAAGCCCTAGTATGAATTACTCATTTCTCACTTCCACTCCACTACAGACACTGCCTGAGAACAGGATCTTGCTTTAAGGATGTAGGGAAGGGAGAAAAGTGACTAATGGGGCTTCATATTGAGTGACTGTTGGAAGTAAAGGCGGAGCTCGTACAGCTGGACAGCACTCAGCTGTCACTGGGAAGAGACAAATGAAAAACAGGAAAGGATTTAGAAGCAATTGTTTCCAGTGACAGAAATAACTTCAATGCTTGATTTTTGCCCATCCAGGCTGAGTGGCAGTTTGAGGATAGGACAAATTAAGAGGGGATTGGGTCTGGTGAGGGAGGGTAGAGAACATGGATACGATGAGTTAAAAAAGTATAAAAATTATCTAAAATATACATTAGATACAAATGCTCCATAACTCATTAGGGAAGCTCAAAAATACTGGAGAGTGGCAATTTGCACTGCAATTATTTTTTAAACAAGGGACTATTCAGTGTTCTGAATGTTGTATGCAAAGCTAATCCATGTCACTGTCTTGCTATGTGACCAACAGCTAGGCAGATAGACTGCTTCCCAGCATCATGGGCAACACTGATGGACAGTGTCAACAAATAATGTAAACTTCAGTTTTAAGGCAGCTGGTACTGATGCTGCACACAGGCTTACCTCAGTGCCCATTGCAGAAATGGGACAATTAGCACTGAAAACAACAGACTGAGGGGAGAAAGGGGAACCAGCATTATTTGACAGAAACAATGTCAAAATGTTTTCCCTTTCACACACGCGAAGAAATGTATGAACATTAGAAAAACAAAGCACCCATCCCTCCAACTTCAGCCTGTTCCTTAACAAATATTTCAAAATACTGATAAATAATCGTGACTGCAAGCAGAATCCCAGTACCAGAGCCAATGGCCCCAAGGAAGTCTGCTAACACTGACAGGGCGCCGATGCACAGACCCCCGAAGGCAGCTGCTGTGGGGATGTACCTGGAAGACAAAAGACTCTCATCAGACTCATCTGGGAGGCAGACACAAGAGCTAGAAGCAATGCAACGTCCAGTTTTGCTAGAAATGATTCCCTCCATATAAACTCGTCAGACAGTCCACACTACTGAGCTGTGCACAAGAGATGGAAGACTGATAAAGCCAATGATTGCAAATCACCACATTTGAAAAATGTTAAAAGCCACAAGGCAGCGCAATTTTTAGGACAAATGATTAAATTTTAACCTGAAATTTAAATATTATTTGTAACTATATATTTTGAGAATATATATTTATATATACATTATTTGTGTGTATATACATGTACATCACACGCAAAATATACTCTATATATTGTGTTACAGTAATTTTTTTTTCAGACATATCTCTGTGGCCTCCAGTTGGCATAGAACTCCTAGCAATTCACCTGCTTCAGCTTCTAAGTGCTGAGATTACATTAACAAACTGTCCTGCCTGACTACAGTTGGGGTAGGGGGGGGGGGGGGGGTTGGTGAGTTTAGTCTGGACCTCATGTAGCAAGGGCTGGCCCCGAACTCATCCTATCCCCACTTCCAGCGTACTATCACATCTAACTACAATATTTAATATTCTTAAACAGGTATCGTTAAATTTCCTCTGTGGAGTGAAAAATAATTTTCAAACCAGGCACATATGTACACATAAGCAAAACACTTAACATATAAAGGATTTAAGGTAGGAACAGTAGTACCAGTTCAAGAAACCACTGACGGAATAGAATCCACATACATTGTACTGGCCTGGTACTCCTCACTTGGTAGCCCAGGCTGGCCTTGAGCTTGCAGCAATCCTGCATTAGCCTCTGAAGTGCTCAAGTTACACGTGTAAACTATATATTTCAACTGAATGTATTTAGTATATGAATTTTATCTCAATAAAGCTGTCAGCAAAGACCAAATGCCTGATGCCTGGGGTCTAATCCTATTACCTGGTGGGGCGCCAGTGTTTTAGAAGCCCCCTGGCAGCTTCATGTGCCCAGAACTACTAATGTGCATCATTTTAGCACTGGGACGAGCAATAAAAGCACGGTCTCAATTAAAATTATATAGGCTGCTGTGGTGGTTTGAATAGGTATGGCCCCTGTAGACTCATGTATTTGAATGCTTGGCCCACGGGGAGTAGCCATGGGGTGTGGCTTTGTAGAAGGAAGTATGTCATCATTGAGGTCTCTGTGGTCTCCTATGCTCAAGCTCCTGATGCCTGTGGATCAAGATGTAAATTCTCAGTTCCTCCCAGCACTTGGGAGGCAGAGGCCAGCCGGGTCTACAAAGTGAGTCCAAGACAGCCAAGGCTATACAGAGAAACCCTGTCTTGAAAAACTGGGGGGTGGAGGAGAATCGGCTTCTCCAGTATCATGCCTGCCTGCACACTGCCATGCTTCCCACCATGATAATGGACTAAACCTCTGAAACTGTAAGCTAGCCCCAATTTAATGTTTTTCTTAATAAGAGTTGCCATGGTTGTGGTATCTCTTCACAGCAATGAAACCCTAACTAACTCAGCTGCCTAAACAACACCAGAATGAGGACAATGCCAACAGACATGCT